CCTCCAGACTCTGGGGGAGGGCAACTATGGCACAGTCATGCTCGCCCGGCACAAGCTCACGGGCACTTCGGTGGCTATAAAGATCATCACGAAACTGAAGGAAAAGACTAACGTGTCGCCGGAGCAGGAGGTGCGAAGCCTGAAGATGCTCAGCCACCCGCACATTGTCCAGCTCTTCCAGGTGGTGGAAAATACGGACAAGCTGGTGCTGGTAATGGAATATCAGGAGGGTGGTGATCTGCTGGGCTACCTGCAGCAGCACGGGTGCCTGTCTGAGCGTGAAGTCCATGACAAGTTCTGCCAGATCCTGTTGGCGCTTCAGCACTGCCATGCCAAGGGCACAGTACACCGGGATCTGAAGCCCGACAACCTGCTGTTGGACCATCAAGGCAAATTTAAGCTGGCAGACTTTTGGCTCAGCATGGAGTTCTTTGACGATCTGCTGAACGCATATTATGGCACGCCAGAGTACGCTGCACCCGAGATCCACCTTCACAGGCCTTACAACTGCCCCGGAGTGGACATTTGGAGCCTCGGGGTTGTATTGTACCGCATGGTGACAGGGTCACTGCCGTTCCTGGGTAAGAACGCCTGCGAGGTTGGGGAGCGCATAGTTAGTGGTAATTTTCACATGCCCGACTACCTGTCCACCCAGTGTCAGGAACTGTTGAGTAGGATGATGGTGCTTGACCCCAAGAAACGGGCCAACATCGACACCATCATTGATCACCCCTGGGTGAAAATGAGGAAGGGACTCCTGTCCCTCAGGGTGCCCTCCCACGACCACGTTGACCCGGCCATCATGGAGGCCATGATGTCCTTTGGGTTTCAAAGGAATCAGGTGCACAGAGCAGTGGCTGAGCAGAGGTATGACTCCATCATGGGCACCTTTTTAATACTCTGCTCCACAAAGCTGGAGGCAGAGGAGGAGGCGCAGAGGCATGCCATCTTCGGGGAGTACTCCCACCCCTCTGGGTCTGACTGTGCCGGTCCTTCCAAGAGGTACACACTTCAGCACGGCCTTTCCAGGAAAAACAATGATCCAGTAAAACCCTGTGTCCCGTGGACACAGTCCATGATCCAGAAAGAACAGGGCAGAAAGCCATTGGCCAGGGTCATATCCAGACCAGCGTGCAAGGCCAGATCCGGTCCTGTCAGCCAACTGCAACACACCAGGGAACACATGTTCCCCTATATTCCAGTTCCTGAGCTGGATGTCCCAGGGGAGCACAAGAATGCATCTATGCCAAGCCTCCGGCTGGAGGTTCCCCGAGAGATGGAGACCTCCTTGAAGCCATAAAACTATTTGGAATTGAGGGAACAGGAGAGCCCCTCCATGCCAGCCTCCCAACTGGAGGACCTCAGGGAGCACACAACTAGCTCAGTCCCAGCCACCAATCAGGAAGAAACAGAGGCACCTTTGACCACCTCTATTCCAGCCTGTCACCAACAGAACACTGTGGAGTCTGCGACATCATCTATGCCAGCACTCCAAATGGAGGACTGCGGGTTGCAGAAGATCACATCTGTGCCATCTGCCTAGCTGGAGTTTCCTGGGGAGTTTGAGAACACTTTCTTGCTCTCTTCCCAGCAGGAGGATCCTAGGGAGCCTGAGGGTACCTCTATGACTAGCCCACAGCTGGAATACAACGGGCAGCCTGAGACTACCTCTAAGATAGGCCCCCAGCTTGAGGATATCAGGGAGCCTGAGAATACCTCTGACACAGGCCCCCTGCTGGATAACCACAGGGAGCCCAAAATGACAACTGAGACAGGCCGCCAGCTGGAGGACCACAGGGACCATGAGATATCTCCTGTGCCAGGGCCCAGCCCGATCACCCTCCAGTCCATGGGGTCACATCTCTGCCAGCACCCAAGCTGCAGGAAAATCAGGAGCACAATTCGACCTCTATTGCCCAGCTGGAAGGACATGTGGAAAACTTAAACTCCACCTGCAGCACAGCACCTGAGCCCCAAAGGATGACCCAGGCACCTACCCCACGATGTGTCTGGTGCCGCGTCTTCCGGCGTAGTTCAGTAACACCAGAGAGCAGAGTCCAGTGTGATGAAAACGTGAAGACTCAAGACTCTCCCTGCACTCCCAGGCAAGGTGTGAAGACCAGAGCTCGTAATGTACTGAACATCATTCTGTGAGCGTGCTGTTGCTGCAAACATGGTGAAACCACTTAGTGGTCGCGGTGAATGCAGCAGAGCAGCAGGAAGGTGCCTGCAGAGGGGACAGGTGTTGTGTGCAGACAGAGTGTCCAGTGTGCAGGAGAGTGAGTGCTCCTCAGGCTAGAGAGGTAGCACTCTACCTGCAGGTGACAGATCACCCCCGAAAACTGAACTCTCCATGGGCTGTTGCAGAAGGGATCATCCTAGTCATCTGTACCTCAGCAGGTGCCCTGCCTCTGCCTTCTTGTCCTGAACACATGGCTTTGGCTTCGTCCACTTTTTCAACCCCTGTCATGCTACCTGTAGTGTGGTCCAAGTGTTGGGTTGTGTCCACAATCTGCCTAAGCCCACTGGCCACCACACATTGGGGTTTAGAGTCCCAGTGGCCTGAATAGACACTGACCCTTTGGTAAGGCCAGTAGCTGAATGGGAAAATTTAGTCTCAGAGTAGTAAGCCAGGCCAGCATGGGTGGGCATGAGGGATGGGGGTGGTGTCTCTCTC